CAACAACATGATAGCGCTCAAGCCAATCCTGCAGGCATGGCTGGAGGAGGCCGAGGCTCAAGCTAAGAACAAGCGACGAGACCCCGACGCTCCCAGCGTCCTCCCCGCGGGCGAGAAGAAACGGAAACGGACGTCAATCGCGGCGCCCGAGAAGCGCTCATTGGAGGCGTACTTCGCCGTCCAGCCTCGGCCATCGGGAGAGAAGATTGCCGCCATCGCCGAGAAGTTGGACTTGAAGAAAAATGTGGTCCGTGTGTGGTTTTGTAACCAGAGACAGAAACAGAAGAGGATGAAGTTCGCGGCACAGCACTGACAGGTGTCGGGAGGGGGGTCATTAGCCCCTCCCTCCACCCCGATTTCTGCCCACTGTATATAACACTAGATGCGCACACATCGGGAATCCTCCTCGACTCGACGACACCGAATGAGACTTGTGTACATAAGCATCATTCCGATCTAGTCAATTAGTTTAGTTGTTCGCACAGACCGTTCCGCCTTGTACATTCGAACCCAAGCGTGTGGCATCTCCGGGCCATGACGCGAACAGTGCAATATACAAATTAGGCTTATAAGGAGACCTACTTCAAATAAATAATGTATATATATAATAATAATAATAATAATGATAATGATTTATATTTGTGTATATAAAATATACACAGACATTGTAAATCATAGCTCAACTCCTTGATTTCACTTGGGGCAGTAAGCATGGATTGGATTCAATCGGAAGTTTGCCTTGCAATGCTAACTGCCCAATAATTTTCCTGCCAGGCCTTATTCAATTGACGCTCATCCGTGCTAAATAGAAGACATTCTACACATTTCAATTTTTTTTCCCTCCATAATTTAGTCATACCGCGTGAAAACCAAACTCAAAATGTGGATATTTCTTCATTTGAGTCCTCGTGATTCTATAGAAAAGCCTCGACTAACAAGGAACGTCTATTTGAGGTACGTGGTAACACGTCTCAAAATATTTGTTTCAAATATTCGATCGAAATTCATAAATTTTCTGTACGATGACTACAGAATTCCCAGGCAAAGTTAGCTCTTGACTAGTAGCCATGCACTGTAAGTAAAGGTTTCTGTGTCTTGTAGTTCGTACGAGATCAGACCTCGAAAACGCTGGGACAATCACTAGAAGGACATGGATGTTGTAGTTTTCAGGACTTCCGGATCGAAGTTCATCTTGATTCACGTGGCGTGGTCACGGTCAACTGGATAGCAATTCTGCTTTGTATTCTGGTGGTCCCCAGTTGTAATCTTCGACCGAAGGACATTTTCGTAGTTCTTCAACTACACACGCCACACGTGGGTAGAAACAGCAAAGGAATATAATAATTACAATTGTAAGCAAAACGTAAAAATCTGATTAGTGTGAAGAATTGTCATTGTCCAGGGAGTTCTTTCGCGCTGTCTGATTGGATGATGAAGATTCCCCACGAGGGGGCGCGACTGACGACTCATTGCGCGGGGATCCCCCATGGTAACAATAGTAACCACTGTAAACAAGCACGTTGAGAATCCCTCGGCCACCGATGTCTGCTAGCAGAAAGTTCGGTCAAGTCTTCACCTAATCTGCCCGCAACTGCTCTCAGATTTAAAACTAAATTCGGAACAGTAGTAAAATTTATTAAAACTCGTGTTTCTGTCAGAGTGGATTAAGTTGATTTGTTTAAGGTTTGGCAGCAAAGATCTTTATTATAAATACTTTTCCTGAATGTAGAACATTGCTTCTTTGCAATCCATTGTCACACAAGTCTGAAGTCAGTTTAACGTTGTCTATCAACGTGGAAGTGCACTACAGGAAGTGACGAAGATTACGTACACGCAGATAAAGGACCTCATTGTTTGGTGTAAAAATTTCACAGCTTATAAAAATGCCTTTCGCTAAAAAAAAAATGTTATACGGAAAATAACGTAGGGGATTGTGGTACATTTTTCAAGCTGCTTGTAACATCTGTGAACCCGATACGTCTCAAATTTAAGTAAACTATTGATTAATTGTACCTCACACGTTAATTCACAGCTGCAACATTTTCTCCGCCACATTCTTCCATCATATTTTGGTTCAGTTATTATGGTTCGTATTAATCTGAAATGGTTTTATTCCTTAAGCTATCTATGAAACTAATTTAATTTTTTCTAAATTTCTTACTGAAAATTTTAAAAAAAATCACTCTGGTAATTTATATTCTAACCTATAAGTGTTATTGTCAAGTATAAATATTAAGATAAATCCCAAGTATTTACACAGCTTCGTACTACAGCAGACATCAATTTTATTGTCAATTCATGGACATTGCCACTTTTATTCTCCACCCCATAAATTTGATTTCACATGAGACGTCCCATTGGGAACAGCATATTTAACTCCAGAGCCCAGATTCCCTACAAACTCGAGAGAAGTAGCACATATGTGCCAGAAACTCTTTCTAAGTATGATTTGGGGTTTCAACGGTGGCGAATATGAAATCGCTGTCTTCTGGGTTGTAGCGCCGTGTAGTCTGATATAATTTTACGAACGTTACACAGGTACTTGCTGCCTCCATCATCAGCATTTAACGCTCTGACGATGGAGGCAGCAAGGATCTCTAAAAAACTGGTAAACTCGTATCACACTACACGGTGCTATAACCCAGAAGACAGCCATCTTAGAATAATCTTTATTTTGGCAAGCACTTAATAAAAGTGATACATAGACTTAGTTTTAAGTAAACTCAGTCACGAAATTAATGGATTTATTCTTATTTTATCCTATAGACCAGTGGTATTCAACCTGGGGTACGCGTACCCCCTGGGGTACGCGAAGACATCTTAAGGGGTACGTGAAATTTAAAAATATATATATTATTTTATGATAAACACTGAATAATGAGTAATGTAATTTATTTAATTTATTTTAGATGTAGATTATATACTATGTATAACTTGAATTATACATCAACAACTTTGGGGGTACAAAGTTGAAGAGAAATTATATCTGGGGGTACGAGAACAAAAAAGGTTGAATACCACTATTATAGACCACGTATTATTATTATTAGTGATGGCTTTAAAATTACTCATTTGTGTCTGTCCTCGAACTATCTGTATTATCGACAAATATATTCCTCTGTAAGAATCCGAGTTAAACGCAGAAACACATATTAAAATTAAATAACAATATTACATAAATACTTTTAGTTCACACATATTTTACAACAAAACTTTAAACAGCTGGCAATATATAAATATCATGCTTCAAAATAGTTATTTTTCATTATTGTTAGAAATAGTTCGTTGTTGTTTGTCGAAAGTCTATGGTTCGCCAAACCTAGAATATATAAAGCACTCCTTTACCTGTGTGTACTCCGTACGTTTACAAAAAATATAATTATACAAACACCTAATATAATAATTCCAGAATGTTGTCTGTCTGGATAACCGATTTCAATATTTAAATTTAAATAATAATAAGACTAATTTTTAAAACAAATAATTAGCCTGGTGTTGAAGTATCATAAGTCAGACTTGCGTTGGATGATGAGGTAATGTTCTATAACGATTAAAACAACTGAAAGTCATGGTGGAAATGTAGCGACAGAATTTCTCACAATATAACTCACTTAATAATGTTGCTTAACACTGATTCCGCTGCCATGATCATTAAAAATAGACTGTGGTGTCATGGAATGCTACAAGTAGGGTTGCCACCCTCACGCAGTAAAATTCTCTATTCCTTCCACTATATACTGTGCTGTAATGTTGTTACAATCTCGTACAATCTAACCTAATAACAGCAATTCACGCTTACATTTTAAATTAGCTTTACTAGTAACACATTCGTCCTTTGTTTGACTCTCAGACCTCACGTAAGGTAACTTTTTTTCCCCGAATCTTGCCTGCACTTCTCTGACACCAGTTGTCAGTTCACAGCTCTACAAAGACTGTAAATGTTAACGAGATGTAGACAAGTGTTCGTTGTTAAGGAGTTTTGTTTTGTGTTTTACTTAGGGATATAAAATTTTCCTGAGTTTGTAAATGACAGGTCCATAAAAGAACAAGGACTTTAAAATCTTTGTTCCACTAAACGTTGCAAACACACAGAATATTCTTGAAGTGACATTTGAGGTTCTCAAGGCCATTAATATGAAGATAAATATTTTCTGGAGTGTTGCGCTGTGTAGTCTGGTAGAAGTATACTGACATTTTAGAGTTGCGAAACGTCGGTCAACTTCTACCAGACTTCACGGCGCAGCACTCCAGAAGCCACTAACCTTCAGAGACCACGATTATTGTCCCAAGTTAACATTTCTGTCTTCTATCAAGTGACATAACACAGCTATAATATTACTAACGCCACTGAAACGGACGGACGTTTCTTAGCCGTCAGAGTAAACTGTGGTTAACCGCCGATGCTCCGTGGAGGTCAGAGGTCAATGAAGAGTTTCATGCTACGGCCATTTTGATTCTGGTCAAAGGGTCATCGGTACAACAAGATAGGGGGTAGAAATTATACTGTAAAGGGGTGTAACTGTAAAAATGGTATTTTACGTACTTTTAATACTTGTTAGATTTATTTAAAACATTTTTCGACATGGTATGTATTTAACAAAATCAAAGAAAATAATTCATGCCTATATACAGTACAGTTGTTTGTTTTTAAACAATGATATTTATAAATTTATGGAGTATACTCTATGTACTCTTTGCTGTTTTCAAGAACAACGAACACTTCGTCACAAAGAATCAATTTGTGAAAATTTGTATACTCCGAAGTGGAGTCATTTTTTTTCACTCTGAAACTTTAGGTGTAAGGTTTATTTTGTTCATGTGAGATGTCGTCCTTCCACCATATCTTTCGACGTCGCTTGTTAAAGAATCAAAACTACTCGGCATTACCAACTTAAAATAATTTGTAACATTTGGTAAATACTGCTTCAGGTTGGTAGTACTGTCGAGTTTTGATTCTGCATTTTGGTAGGGAGATATAGTAATTTAAGAACTGTTTCTACAGGGTACTCCATTCATATCATTCCACAGACCGCGAAGACCAACATATTAATAATTTATAATTAAAACTAAGTCTAATGTGATGCGACAGAAGGTAACCGCAGGGCCACTGCAGTGAACCAATAAAAATAAAACATATCATATTACAAATCACAATGGTTCTTATATAATTGTATAGTCAAGCACGTCAGTTGCTATGTGGCTTGTGAAAAATTATTGATAAGCTCATTTTTATATTTAGTCCCAAAGTCACTTAGACATAGACGACTATTTCCATCAAACCTTTTGTTTCAATGTCTTGTTCTAAAACTTCATTCATTCCAAATAAAGTCTTGGTGTTAAAATAAACATGCAGTCTTATTTTCTACGTAACAAACCTCCTTTTTTTTTCATTTTCTAAAGACGCGTAATGAGTGCAGTTGCTTAGAAAGAGACAGATTTGTTACGTTGTGATGTTGCTAGATGATTCCGCTTACATTTTTCAGTCATTATTTATAATATGGTAAAGTTGCGTCATATTGTGATATAATAAGTATATATTAAATCTTGTCCGTCTAATCACAATAAATTCTTATTAAATATTAAAATATTACAATAATTAACATTTAAAATATTTAAAATATTAAATGACTGTTACCGGATACTGAGACCGAAATGGATCGTAATTTTCCTCAGTTAACCCTCAACGTACATAACTTCCTTGCGATAAGGAATTAGCGTATCCATACAACAAGTAAAATTTTAATTCTGTGTATTTTAAAATGGACTGTCTAGAAGAGAATTTAAGAAATAACTTTCTCGACGTTTTCAAAATTGGCAACCATAACATAGTACGATTCACGTAAAGTTTTTTGTATACCAACTGTTGTAGACGTCTTTTAACGGTACAGTTTGTAATGGTGATATTTTAATTAAAATTAAAATAAAATGTAGTAAGTTTAGAGTGCGTGAAAATTATAAACGTTTTATCAATGAAACACCCCAAGGAGTCGTAATGTGTCTAAAGATTTATAGTTAAAGAATTCATTCCGAGTAGGGACAAGGCAAGGAAGCCTAATTCGAAATTTTAAGAATAAGAAAAATGTTACTGATAAAGCTCACTCGCCTTTGAAACTTTTGAAATAAAGTGTACAAACTTGTTAGGAACGAAATAAATAGCCTGGAAACACAATTACAGCGTCCAGACAAACTTGGGCGTGTGACATTATTATTAAAAAAACAAATCATAAACCTCTCCTACCGGCTCAAGACATTTGAAACTTGGGCGTGTGACATTATTAATAAAAAACAAATCAAAAACCTCTCCTACCGGCTCAAGACATTTAAAATCGCAGATCTGGACTTTCCAAACAACGGAAATTTTAAGTATCCATGGTAACGTCGAAATAAAGGTTTCATAATTTTGTAAGAAAAAGATGAAACCTGATTGGTTAGCTTTTCATGGATCTCAGAATTCCGTGAAGTTGAATGTAAATTCCTACTACAAGGAACTGTAGATACCAGTTTTTAAACAAGAGTTATATTTCAATTATGTTTAAGTCTCACGTTAGAACCTGTCAGAATACACACTCACACACATTAGAATACTGTCTACGACTATACACGACCAACGTCTCAGTAATAATAACACTATATGGCAGAATGTTACATTTTACAAATGCTGCTATCGTTAGGCAATTTTTAGAAGTGCCTGTGAAGGAGATAAAGGCGCGAAAGGAACAACGGAAAGGAAGAAGGAGGATGGAGATTGAGACACCAAAAATAATTCCTCGTCCAATTTCAACGGGACTTTTAAGACAAGTTTGGTAGTCGCCGTGAAAATGTTTTCGTATTTAATGTAATCGATAAAGATATTTTATAAATTTTGCGAGCATTAAATGCGATTTTCAAAGATAATGCTACATGAAATTGTACTGTATTTCTGTTCAGCACAAAAGAAAAATGATTGATTCTCATAAAATTCGTCGGGACTTGCGTTAGCATAAATATAAACGCTTTTGAGCTCAAATTAACAAATGATACAATAAGACGGTATGGAATCGTTTTAACACGAAAGAGGAGAGAATCCCAAAAGGGTTCTGAACATGAAAGTAAAAGGAAGACAGGACAAGAGGGAGACCGAGATAAAATACGTACAACATGTTAGGAAAATTCCCCTCCGAAGGAAAAGAGAACATGGAAAAAATTGAGATACGACGCCTGTGGGAAGACACAAATGGAAGGTCTTGTTGTTCACATGACTCGCTTATATGTGAACACGAAGTTGTCGTGGTGATCAGAAAACGTTGTTGCCACAGAATATCTAATACGGGCTTTGTATCGCAAGCAGGGTCTGGAGATATTGCTGCATTAACCCAATGCTGAGAATATCCACAATAAATTCTTCAGGTAAGTCACTTAATTACATTCCCCGTCACGTCAGCAAATCTGCCAACTTTACGTTGTCGATTTATACCGGAATTATTTTTCAACTTTGCTCGCTCGCTTCTGAAATGCGATCTAAAATCATTGTCTGTATTGC